AAACAAATTTGCCCTTAACAATTGAATATAATACCAGGTCAGGTCAAAGGTCATCCATCCATCTCCATTCCGATCAGATCAGATCAATCAGAGAATATAATGTGATCATAATGTGATCTATCGATCTCTCTCTTCTCTATGGTTAGTTATAAATTATGTTATAGAGAATGGAATGTTGTGTTGATATGATATTAGAGTGTTGAGTTGGGTTGATAGAGGAGTGAATGGTGGTGTATTGATTATTATTTAGTATTTGGTTGTTGATTTGAAAATGAGTATGAGTTGACGTATAGTTAGTAGTATTTAAAAGTTTTAAATGTTATGAAGAGCATCGTGGTAGAGGGCTGGGAACGGTTGATATTACTTTGTTAGTATATTACTATCGATATTACTATATATTATATTACTATTATTATTGTTAGTATTGTTATTATTATTGTTATTTTTATTATTATATATTACTATTATATAAATATTGGCGTATAGCCAGTGTTGCTTGAAATTTTGAAAAGTTATGAAGAGCATCGTGGAGATGGTTGGNTATTATATAAATATTGGCGTATAGCCAGTGTTGCTTGAAATTTTGAAAAGTTATGAAGAGCATCGTGGAGATGGTTGGGAACGATTTATATTATTAGACACAATATATATTATTATTATTATTGTTTTTATTATTGTATATATTATTATATATTATTATTATATAAATATTGTATTTTATATTATATAGTATTATTATGACAGAATAAATATTGTGACAGAATATATATTATTATTATTATTAATATTATTGCTTTTTTTATTTTATTGTTATTATTATTACTATTATTATTGCTGTTATTATTATTGTTATTATTATTATTATTATTTTTGTAATTATTATTGTTATTATTATTATTGTTATTGTTATTATTATTAATGTATAGTTGATTTATATGATAATGGTGGTTGATGATTTAGCGCTGACGGATAAATTTGCATTCGAATTTGCAAATGGAAAAAATATAACAGCTCAAAAATTTTTTCGTCTATCCATTTCATTTGTTCAGTCATAATTCATTGCGAAAACGATGAGTTTTGGTGTGGTGCGGCCGTCGTTCACGGTCTCGAGGCGCTTCCTACCGTACTCGAAGGCGCTCTTGGCTCACGTCCAAATGACCTCATCAACACCATCGTCGTCGTCATCATCATCACGGCTACCGTATTCGTCGAAAGCTCCGGCGGCAGCTGGCCAAGGAAAAAGCGACAGTTTGGCTGAGGAGCGGGCAGCCAGCTCCGATACCGTACCGGATAGGAAGGTTTGGCAATGTTCCAGCTTGGGATACTGTAATCGGT